ATAATTATATTTATATAGAGAGGCTGAAGTTACCTTGGCAGAAGACCACGATGTCGTTTATATAGCAAACACGGACTTTTACCATGGTAACTTCGGCCTAAAATATGTTAACAAGGCAGGTACGGATAGCTGACCACATTAATCCTCAAATATTAGAGGATTTTATCTTTTAAAAACAACACTAATATAACTATATCTATATATATATATACTACGTATACATTATTTTATAAATAATGTAAATAAATTATTTTATTTTCTACTAATTACCAAAAATCACAGTTCTGTCTCTCCAACTCAATGTATTTCAATTGCCCGCTATGAACTTCCTGGAACTATTTGAGGTCTACGTGAATCACGTGACGATCGAGCGTTTTGGACTTCCGTTGACGCAACTCTCTCTTTCCATGGCTCTGGGCAAAACCTTTCGCCTACAATTTCGTAACACCGGAACTCGTGCTTCAGCCAATCAGAGTGCACAATACAAGCATGTGGCTGATGACAATACTGAAACATGGAGGCTGTAAATCGTGTGTGACTTTTGAGAGCGAGAAATGTGGCCGGTTGTATTTGTAAGACATTGTGTTTGCTATGGTATAAATGAGGAAGCTGTAAAATTGGTTTCCATGCTAAAATCAACTTCGGTTTTCTGTCACTGGAGTGTCCTATGGAGGGTTTAGTAAGTGAATTACCTCTACTTCTAGTCATTTTTTAAAATCAGAGTATAGTTTACGCAAGGTGTAGCAGCACAGTTTACGTCTGTTTCATCTTGAAGTTTCGTGCATTTTGCATTATTAGACAAGGAAGTGCGCTGCATTAACAGGGATGTCATGCTTTAAACATCGAGGAAATTTCCGGAAGACAAGCAGCGTGAAATTTTGCATTAACTTTTTTCCCCTCCTTGACCGAAATTCGCACAGTTATTGTGTGATTAATAATTGAAATCGACTGAATTGGACGAAAAGATCGATGCATGTCGGGCAGGGTCACTGGGGACACCGACTTAATTTGAGTTGCAGCTGTATAGGGATCAGATTCGCTCGAGTCATTTGGGTTTTCCAGTGAAAATGCTGCTGTCTCTGGTCGTGCACACGTACTCGTTGCGGTACTGGCTTCCAGCAGCGGTGATGCTGGGCACCGCTCCTGCTTATCTGCTGTCCTGGAGCGCCTGGCGGCTGCTGTCCACTGTGCTACCGTCCAGACTCTATCACACTGTGGATGACTGTGTGTATTCAGTGTATCAGAGTATGGTCCTGTTCTTCTTTGAGAACTACACGGGAGTGGAGGTTAGTATGACTTTTTTGACTTTAGTGCATTTACCTTTTTTCAGCTTTGTTCTTCACTAACCACGTGTAACCTCTGAATGTTTTATCCAACTAAAAACAACATAAGTGAAATATGGCCCCCTATATATATATA